GCAACAATGAATGAATGGAATTCCAAAATCTCTGTAGATGTTCATTGAAATGAAAAATAAACTAAATTAAAAAAACAAACAAAAAAAAGTGAGGAAGAGCTTCAATGAGAACTGCCATTGAGATTGCCATCATGAGCTTAAGCACGAGGTTAGTGAGGATGATTGACCAAACTTTCATTCTGTTTTATATGGATTTGCAGAGTCAGCACTGACTGGACAGCACCTAGCACTGCAGCAACTAATTTATTTTCGTTATCTTTGCATTTAATTAACAGATCTATTACCTAATAAATATTTTTCCAAATAGAGTTCCTTATCTCATTTTGTTGCTGTCCTTAGGTGTCATGGAGTTAGACCTACAGAGGGTTTTTAGAAGTAGTAAATTTCACATTGCTCTATGGAGCAGCTAGTGGATTCAAACCAAATACTTTTCAGTTGGCAATGCAGCTTCTTACCACTTGACCACCAGAACTTTCAAATCTTACCATAGGAGCTTGATTGTCATAATTTATAATTAACATTATACGATCATTAGATGATTTTAAAATATAGTTGTTATTCTAATAACTCCCACTGGAAGTACACAGTAGGATTGTGATCTCCAATCCCCAAAGCATTTTCTTCATTGCATCATAAAGAGTTCAAAATCAAAGGATTTTCCTTTGTGAAAACACATTTTTGTGAACATTAGAAGGAATTGTCAGTTAACTTTTTATCATGAAGGAGAAGGCTAGTTACTCTATGTGAATAACATAAGAACATTGAAGATTGAAATTTATGGTAGGTATTCATATTAATTTGAAAAACAGAGGAAGAGAATATAGAATGCAACTATTTTTCTGGTTTAACTGCTTCATTGGAATGTAAAGGAAAAAGAGTTTAAAATTCAACAGGAAAAAAAATTCAACAGGAATAACTTAAGGCTAAAATCTAAATTCAGCAATGTCGTATTTTCCATTTTTTTCTTAATATGTCTTCCATTTTTTCTTGCCATTTAATATTGCTTTTAAAGTAGAACAAAAGTTTTAATATCATTATTACAATTAAGTGAAGTTGTCAATAGTATTTGGAGAATGGATATTTGGTGTTAAAACACATCTGTGTTGAAACATGACAGATAAATATTGTTTCCTCAAAGTACAGATGAAAGAGGGAGCTCTGTTGGCTCAGTGATGAGTTGTACTGTCAACTCAAAGGCACTTGGTTTGACTCTACCAGCTGTCCGTGGAAGAAAGATGGGCAATCTCCTCCTGTGAGATTTAATTTCTAAAAATCCACGGGAGGGTCTGCTATGAGTCAGTTCTGACTCGATGGTACATAACTACAGCTGAAAGGAAAGAACAATATATAAAGGGTAAGGTGAAGTGTTCCAGAGATAATCTTAATAGAGTTTATAATTTTACCTGTTAGTTCTGATCGTTTAGTATTAAACAATTAAGATGGTTGATTATTTCTATCATTCACTTGTATAGAACTTTGATGGTCAAGGACACAAGTAGTAAAGCTCAGAAATACTTGATATGCCAAGCACTAACTGCTATTTTACATGGAGGCTTTACTAAACATTCATAAGAATTTTTACTCTATATTCTTTACTGGTTGGATCAAAGGTTAAGTTACTCTAATGCTAACTGAAAGACTTGAAGTTAAGTATATCCAGAGACTCCTGGGAATAAAAACCTGTTGATCTACATGGGAGAAATCAGCCATTAAAAACTTACTGAAATAGTCATCATTATGCTCTACCCTTTTAATCTTAATATCATCCATGTTGATTGAAAGAGTAGAAACATACTTTCTTAAAGAGATATAAAGTCAGGTTTCTTAAGATTACATGGCTTTACAGATCCACACACTGAATTGCTGAGTTTATGGACACACAATGCACATTTCACTCTTGGGAAATTTGTTAATAAATTAATTTATTAGAGTTCTATTAGTAAAAAATTTCATTTTGAAGACATGTAAATAATCTCATCTCATTAATTCATAAGATAAAATATTTGACGGAATGGGAAGTATGAATAAGAGTTTCAGATCAGAAAACATCAATGAAGATGTTATTTAAGGTAGATACTAAAGAGTGAAGTACATCGTTCTGTGAGTAAAAATTTTAGTCTGCATAGAAAATGTTTAGATTGGATGATGACAGGAAGTATGCATATTTCTCATTCTTGCTTAGAATGGAAAGAAAATTAAATTTCTGGTTTTAAATACAATGGAAATACACTGGTAGAACGTATACAATCCAGTAGTATAGTTCTTAGAAGTAGAGTGAAAGAAAATGGGGAATTGAGACAATGAAGAAAAAAATGAAAAAGAAGATAAGTGTGGGAAGTGAATATTATGTGTCTCATCCTAAAAATGAGAAAAGTTTCTCTTTGAGTTGTGGCACTGGAGAAAGCCTGCTAAATTTCCCACCGAGAACAAAAAAGAATGAACAGATATGTCTTGGAGAAAGTGTAGCCCGTTGGAGGCAAGGATAGCAAAGTGTCATCTCACAAATTTTGGAAATGTTGTTAGGACAGATTATTGCTTGCAAAGGGATATCATGCTTGGAAAAGTGGAGGGTTAGCAAAAGAGAGTACTATGCATTTCTTTGTCAGAATCAGAAGACTCTATTAATTAACTGACCAGAAACAAAAACTCATTGCCTGAAAAATTAAAGACAAAACAAAACCCACTGTCATTGAGTAAATTTTGACTCAGTTATCCCACAGCACAAGGTTGTTTTAATGTGCCATGAAGTTGAGTACAATTTGAAGCAACCCTATGAAAAACAGATCTGAATGCAGTCCTATCTATCGCCATCATCTGTGACACACTTGAGCCCATTGCTGCAGTCACTGTGTCAGTCACTGACCCATCTTGGTAATGGTCTTCCTCTCCTTCATTGACTCTTCACCTCTCCAAGAATGATGTTCATCTCCAAAGAATAGTCTCTCCTAGCAACATATCCAAAATATGTGAGATGAAACTTTGCAATCCTTGCCTTTTTAAGAAGTACTCTGGCTGCATTTTCTCCAAGACATATCTGTTTTGTTTTTGGAAGTTCATGGGATATTCAGTATTCTTCATACCACAATTCAAAGGCATTTATTTGTTGTCTGTCATCCTTACTCCTTGTCCAACTCTCAGATGCCTAGCACAATATAGAGCTGTGTAATAATTTTGCAAGACTGCAAATCTTTATGGAGATGGACTATTTCATCTTTCTGCAGAGGAATTCTCGTGGGTTCCTGATCAGGGGAGTCTTTAACCATTTTTTAAACAAGACGTTTTTAATGAATTGAAATGGCAAGAAATTGAAGAGATGAGTATATTTCTGTTTGAACTCCTTCCTACAAATTTGGCTCAAGTAGAATGTTTTCCCTCTTTATAGGAAGGCCATAATGTTATTTTTTAGGGGCATCATTTTTAAATTTATTTTTCCCAGCAACTTACTTTAGACCAAACAATGCTCATGTGATCAACATTTTTTCTTTACTCTCTAGTCTTTGTATGTGTGTGTATGTGTGCTTGTGTATGTGGTGTTTGTGTATTACAATGTCTTGCATCAGTTTCATAAATTGTACATTTAGTTACAAGTAACCCATGGAAACATCCATATCAACTACTTTACTCAGCTTTAAAGATGTATATTATTATTGTTATATATTGTTGAGTCAAAATTGACTCAAAGCTGACCATTTAGGAGGTTTCAGAGGCTGTAAATCAATCAGGAAGAGACTGGCCAATCTTTCTTCTGTGGAGCTGGTGATTTGATTTTTTATTTTACTATTTTATTTCTCTCTCTATGTTTCTAAGCACCATCTCATTAACATTTTGATATAAAATAGTTCCTTTCAGTATTCTATGTTTCTTTCATAGCACCTACTTAAAACATGTATAATTTTAAAATAGAATGTGAGGAACATGGTGATGTATGTATCACATTATTGCACTTGTTGTTATTGTTATGTGCCATTGAGTCCTTTGTGACTCATAGTTACCTCATTTACAACAGCTCTGAACCCTGCTCTATCCTGAGCCAAACTTAATGTCTCTGATATACCTACCGCCATGACCCCAGTCACTGACTCAACCCATCTCATCAAGGGTCTTCCTCTCTTTCACTGAACCTCCACCCTCCCAAGTGAAAAAAAAAAGAAGGCAGAAATCCCAGAGTTCCATATTGTAGGGACGTGGACTCCTAAAGCAGAGAGCGATTCCACAGAGATTCATTATTGATTGAGACTAAAAATAATGGCCTGAGATAATGAATTTTTTGTTTGTTTTTCTTTAATATAAAGAAATAAAAGATAAATAGATTTAAGTAATAATAGTGAATAAATATAAGAGATGGTTATTTTTAGATGACATCATGAGTGTCAAATGTTATCTGATGACTTATAGATGGGTAAAGTGGAAATAAATTTTCTGATTCTTAATGCACTTCAGGCCAAAGAGATGGAGATCAGAAACAGTACTGTGATGACAGAATTTGTCCTTATTGGTCTTACCCAGTCTAGAGAGATCCAGCTCCTGGTCTTCATACTAGTCTTGTTTTTTTATATCATCATCCTCCCTGGGAATTTCCTCATCATCCTCACCATCATATCAGACCCTGGTCTCTCGGCACCTCTTTACTTTTTCCTGCGAAACCTAGCCTTCCTGGATGCATCCTACTCCTTCATAGTGGCTCCCAGGATGCTTGCCGACTTCTTCTCTGAGAAGAAGGTGATCTCCTACAGTGGCTGCCTCACTCAGCTCTTCTTCCTGCACTTCCTTGGAGTGGGGGAAATGTTCCTACTTGTTTTCATGGCCTTTGACCGCTACATTGCCATATGTCGACCTTTACACTATTCGGCTATCATGAAACCTAGTGTTTGCTATGTACTAATGTTGGCTCTCTTCCTTGGAAGTTTTGCTCATTCTTTTGTACAAGTGGCACTTATCCTTAACTTGCCCTTCTGTGGCTCAAACCGACTGGATAACTTCTTCTGTGATGCCCCACAGATCATCATGTTGGCATGCACAGACACCTTTGTAGTGGAGCTCCTGATTGTCTCCAACAATGGCTTGCTCACTCTCCTGTGTTTTCTGGGCCTTCTGACCTCGTACGCTGTACTCCTTTTTCATTTAAGAGGACATTCTTCTGAAGGGAAGAACAAGGCTGTGTCCACCTGCACCACTCATGTTATCATCGTGTTTCTCATGTTTGGACCTGCCATTTTCATCTACACTCGCCCATTTATATTTTTTTCAGCTGACAAGGTGGTTTCTCTCTTCCACACAGTGATCTTTCCTCTATTGAATCCTGTAATTTATACCCTCCGCAACCAGGAAGTGAAAGCTTCTATGAAAAGATTAATTCTCCATCGTGCAGCTAATTGAATGATGAAAACAACATTTAGATAAGTAATTTCAGAAAACTTATCTGTAATTAAATTTTTGTGCTTCCTCATGTGGTCCAGTGAATACGGAGCTGAGCTGCCAACAATAAGGCAAGTGGTTCAAAACTACCAGCTTCTCTGTGGGACAACAATAGATAATTTCCTCCCATATGATTTGTAGCCTCTGCAAACCTGCTGGAGTGTCAGCTATGAATTGGTTCACTCAATGACAATGAAAGAGAGATTTGTTAGAACAATTCTATGCACTAGTGAGAGTTATTTAATGAAATAAAATTGTGATCCTGAAGGTATGTATGACTTAATGAAAATATACATCATTATTAATTTATTGTTATAAATTAAAAGAATTATTTAATGTAAAATATTATTCTGAAGATTGAAAAGGAAAGTAAAATAATTGTGACTCTTGTTGGGAGTACTCAATTTTCTTTTAGTCACCAAGGAAGACTATCTTAGGAGATGAAATTGCTACTACTACCTGGCTGGCTGGTAGGGGCCAAATATTCTAGGCAGTTGTTGTTATATAACACCAAGCTGAGTTCTCATACGCAGTAAATTATAAGGGAGCAGACTGCTCATATTTCTCTCAGAGAGCAGCAGGTAGATTAGTACCACCTGCCTTTATGTCGACAGCACTATTTCTTACCAGTAAGCTACCAAAACTTATTTTAGCAGGGTAACTGCCTATTTGAATAACTGATCTTTAATTTGGAAGTCCAACAAATAAAATAAAGGTCTGAAGATGATAATAGATTTGATATATTTGAGGAAAATAGCAAAGTCTCATTTGGTTGAAGTATAAAGTAGGTGAATGGGAAATTATTAGCACGATAGTCAGAACCAACTCATAGCTGACTATAGCTAGTTTACAGAGGCTGTAAATAGTGTGGTAGAAGATTGCCCATTTTTTTCTCCTCGATGAGCTGCTAATCTCTTGGGGATAATATTACAACTACCTGTGCACTACAGAGTTGGAAATACTATAGTATTCATATCATATTTGGTCTATTAAATGAATATAAAGAGTTTGAATTTTATTGTAAGTGATAAAGAATCATCCTAAGGCTTTAGTCAATTAATCTACAGGAGTCTCATAAATGATTTGGATTATAATTTGAAGATTCTAAGAAGGGGCAAATCAGTGGCTAGATATAATTAAAAGGAAATTATTGTTCTTGTATGTGTATTTGAAAGAAATTGTCGCTTGTTGTGTTGTGTTTTGGTTTTGTTTTTTTTTTTAATTCATGAAGAGGAAGCTATGAGGGTGCTAAGTAATTTCATAGGACAAAGTAATGAACCTTTTTCACTTCCCCCCCTAGAACCAGTAGCAGATTCTCATGAATTTTACTTGTATGCTTGTTTTGTTCCTCAAGTTCCTCAATCAATTTCACCTTGAGTGTAATGATGAGAGTGGGGTTTTGTTTTGTTTTTTTTTAAACTCATATTTCTTGTGGCAGAATACAGAAACTATTATAATTAAAATAAAGATCACATGATATTATATAGAGAATTCACTCAATCATTGGCTTATGGTTGATCCTTCAGCAGATTTTCAGAGGAATCTCTGCACAGGAAAAGATTGTCCATCTTTTTCCTTTGGAACAAGTGATGGATTGAAACCAATTGTTTGGTTTGAAGTAGTTATCAACGCAACTACTTACACGCTATAGAGCTTACTCACAGAGTTCTGTATAGAGTATTGCTGTTGTTGTGTGTCACTGAGTTGGAACTGATCCAACCCTCCAGTGGGTTTTAAGAGACAGTTAATTGCATAGGCAGAGATTGCTCGTCCTTCTCTTATGGAACAGCTAGTGGATTTGAACTGCATGCATTCTTGCAATCCTATTGCAGTGCACCTTTTTTCTACCAAGCCACCAGATTTTCATATAGAAGATATTTTATTGTGTACCATCAAATCTGATCTGACCCTCTCATGTGTTAATCATCCAGGAGGAGATTGCCCATTCTTCTTCTAAAGAGCAGCTATTGGATTTGAACCACCTGTCTTTGGGATTTAAGTGCAGTTTTTTACCACTAGGGTGACAGATTATAGTTGTTGTTGAGTACCATCTAGTCAGAACTGGTAGATAGCTGACCCTCTGGCTGGTTTTCTGAGGTAGTTAATCACATGCTAGAAATCTGCATATCCTTTTGTGGAGCAGCTGGTGGATTAAAACCATGTGCATTTGGGACTACAGTGCAGGCTCTTATCACTAGGTCACCAAATCATATTTTTGTTGAGTACTGTTGAGTTGATACTGACCCATACTTTCCTCCTGGTGTGTTTCAGAGGCAGTTAATCTCACGGGAGGAGATTGCTCATCCTTCTCCTGAACCACTGGTAGATTTGAACTCTGTATCTCTGGGATTGCAGCATAGCTTCTTATCACTAAGACATCAGAGCTCCCTAGAGCAGATTAGAGCTCCCAGACCAGACTAGTTTAACATCCCATTGAATTGACTAGGACTCACAGAGACCCTGTGCACAATAGCTCTGAACCCTGCTTTATTTTGAGTCAATTTCACTCTGACACACCTACTCTCATTTATCCCAGTTACTATGTCCATCCATCTCATCTGTGTCTTCCTCTCCTATGCTGTCAACCCATGCAAACATGATATTCATCCCCAAAGACTGGTCACTCCTGGCTACATGCCTGAAGTTAGACAGAGTAGTAAGTACATAAATGTTGTTGTTGTTATGTGCCGTCGAGTCATTTGCGACTCATAGCGACCCTATGCAAAACAGCCCTAAACCCTGCTCTATCCTGCGCCAACCACACTGCCTCTGACACACCCATCCTGATTACCCCAGTCACCGAGTCAATCCATCTCATAGAGGGTCTTCCCCTCCTGCGTTGTCACTCAACACTCCCAAGCATGATGTCCCTCTCCAAGGACCCGTCCCTCCTGGCAACATGTCCAAAGTATGTCAGACGAAGCCCCAGAATCCTTGCCTCCAAGGAGTAGCTTGGTTTAATCCTCTCCAAGATAAATCTGTTTGTTTTCGTGGCAGTCCATGGTACATTCAGTACTCTTCTCCAGCACCACAGCTCAAAAGCATCCACTCTCCTTCTGTCCTCCCTAGTCATTGTCCAACTCTCTGATGCATAACAAGCGATTGCAAAGACCATGGCCAGTATCAGGTGCACCTTAGTCTCCAGAGAGACACCGTTGCTCCTGAGTACTTTAGAGAGGTCCCTAACAGCAGACTTTCCCATCTCGATACGCATTTTGATTTCCTGACTGCTGGTGCCAAGAGTGTTGACTGTGGAGCCGAGCAAACTGAAGCTGTGAACACTCTCAATCTCTTCGCCGTCCATCCTGACGCTGCCAATTGGTCCAGTGGTGAGAACCTTTGTCTTCTTGACATTGAGCCTCAGGGGGAAAATGAATTCAAAATGGCAACAAAAAAAGTACCACTAAATCTATCTGCAAGAAAATGTCAAGAGATGCAACAATACATTATTGACTAATAAAACAATACATTATTGACTAGTAAAAAGATTTGGCAAGTGAGGGATGCAAGATCAGTATACAAAAAAACAGTTAAAATTGCATCTTCAGGAGCATCAAAGTCATTAGGCCACAAACAGCTCACAAAGTATTCTATATCTTGTAACAAAACAGTATTATCCACATTGGTGAGTAGCAACATGGATCTTAAGAGATTGTGAGCAGCCATGTAAGGTGAAACTCTTATTTTCTTCCTGTTAGGAACAAAGGTAAGAAAAAAAAGAAAATCTGTATACGAACACTTGTTTCAAAAAACTAATAATAATGGAGCAAATGAACTTGAATCACCAGGAGCCTAAGATCTGAGAAACTAGTGTCTGGTTCCTGCTGCTGATCACTCTAAAATTGGTAATAGTAAAAAAATAAAATGCAGATAGAGTGGGTGAAAAATGTAGAGCTGTAAAAACAGTCCAGCTTTCAATGAAAAAGTGTCACTTAAATCCAATTTACTTTATAAGAGGGAAGATTTTCATCAACATCAACACTGACCTCTAGGAAGTGAGACATGCCCCCTTACTCCCACACCTTCTTCCGTCAATTCTATTTTCAACCATCTCTCCCAGGGATCTTGCTGATCTACCACTGGCTCTTCTAATATGTTGCAATGGTCAAATATACCATACTCAGAATTATGGAATTCACCATGAGAGTAAACAGGTTACAGTTTAGACAGGAAACAGGATACAGTTCTTAGTCAGGAAGCTTTTCAGATGTGCTTATATACCCTCTGATCTTAAACTTCATGGCTTTCAGCCATGTTACAAAACTCTTGTAGTCCTGTTAACTATGGTGTCACCTCTTAGATCTCTAGTAAGCCTGGCTGAAGACCTTTGCATCTAGTTCTGTAGGGTGGCAGGACTCATGTAGATCTCTGATTTTATAATATGGTGCTACTGCTTCTTCTTCTGCTACTCCTGCTGCTCTAGTCTAGGTCCTGGTCTTTCTTGCTAAGGAATCTCTGACCTAAAAAGATACTCTGAAGTCACTTGCTTCTTCTTGATTGTAATGAGATTCCCACTTTCTGCATTTAAATGTACTCAGTTTCAGCTTCTGGGAGTGAAAAATTGACTAGTTCTCTCATTGTTAGTCTACACACATTATTTTATGTTCCTACCCAGAAGTATTATTTGTCTAATTCTCATTATTAGCATTGCTCTACCAACAAAGTTGCAAAAGTAAAAACCAATGGCTAGGAACACTCAAATTTACTTGATCAAGGGAACAAAATCTAGAAATAAAATGGTGACCAGGCTTTCTGGTGTAATAAATGCTAGAGAAAACTTCCAAAACTCTTATTTGGCTCTTCTTATTGCTTTAAATCTAAAACAAAACTCATCTGCATGGCTCAACTTTCAGCCATATAATTTTCAAACTATAAAGTGATTATTAACATGAAGAAAGCCCTCACTGCTTAAAATTATTGTTGTTGTTATGTGCCATTGAGTCTCCTGTTACTCACAGCAA